TCTGGTCTCCTCACACCCAGTATTTGTTCCCCACCTGTTGTCTGATCCTGCTGCTCTGGTCTCCCAACAGCCTGTTCTTGTGTCTGCTGTTCAAGAGGTGTCATGATCTGCTGTAGTCCTAGAATGGCTCTCCCAATGAGTCCACCCATTTTTCACTGCAATCCAATTTGAAAATAAGTCTTAAAACCTTTAACAAGGGCAACTGTCAGTGACTTTGTACAACTGTTAACAAGAACGCTAGTAAAATCCCACATTCATTTCTCATACAACCTAGCAGATTTGATTGATTGAACTTTAGATGAGATTGAACCAATATAGTTTTCTGATTACATACTGCATACCTCAAGTGCCTGATTTTCAGTGGATGGGATCAATTCGCACTACTCTCTGAGGACCCGGAGAGATATCCATCAAACATCAGTAATTACTAAAGATCCTCCATCACATGATGTTATCCAATGTGATGTCCTCAAGGCGGCAAAGTCTGGAGTTGAAATTCAAAATCAAATTGTGAAAATGAAATATGATGCAAATGTTCCTAAGTAACATGTAGCAAACATCAATATTCTGGTTTGCTGTTTTACAAAAATTAAGGAACGGCTTGTTTGTGTGGTTGTATTTTCTGTGCTCACTTTTCCAGAGCTAGTCAACAATTTCAGTAGCCCCGTCACAGGGCTGAGTCAATTCGAATAATTCACTATTCAAATACTCAACCTTCAATTCAATGGAATATTTTTGGTATTACCAACCAGCAAATTGACGATGATTAAAAAAAAAAAAAAGAGATGACCAGATAGGCCAATGAAACCTTGCCCTCCCAAAAACATACCGCTGAAAGCTGGTGCCCACATAAGATGCTGGTTCCCACTTGTGCCCCCTTACTATTAAAATCCTAGCTATACCACTGCCAACCACCCCCCCACCCACATCTGGCATGTATTCATAATTTTTCATTCCCACATTGCAGGTCAAATTCCCAGTCAGTGCATTCCAGTTGAATAACTAACAGTCATATTATACATGTACGTTACCTAGACCAAGTAACTGCTGAGCTTAGGCCTAACTCTTCATTTTTGAGGTTGGACTTTAGGAGGGGGAATTTTTGAAAAAGAAAAAAGTCACAGTTTATCCAAAACCTTGGTGTCCGGATGCTACTGCTTGACTCTGAGTTCAATATTCTCATCATTGCTGTACATGCAGTAACCTCATGATGGCATTTCTGTTATTCCATTCCATTTAGGCCCTATTATTTTCTAAAAAATAAAAAAATCACAATGAGCAAAACGAAAATGAAATTACATACCTTATCCTAAAGAAACAAACAGGATTAGGACACAAAAAGACAGAGAACCCACATGGCCACCGTGCATCATGTCCCTGCAGGACTCCTGAAGACTCAGTGAACTAGTATCGAGAAGCTCGTCTATAGCATGACTGAGTAAAAATAAACAGATGACAGTGGAAACTTCTACACGTCGTACAACTCCAAGGGATAACCCCGAATAACCATGGAGCTGTCCTTTTTCATAGCTCCATGGAATAGGCCTAAGTCACTATTTTTTGCTCGATCAAATACCCGAAACTATTCAAAATGGGGCAAAATGCAACACTATAGGCCTAAAGAATGACATTTGTCAGCATGCCAACTACAAGTATAATCATTACAATTTTAATGTGATTATGGGAAAAAAAATAATGTGAAAAACTTCACCAGCAAACCTCTTCGCCAAGTTCTCCAAGATCTGCGGTGCGCGACGCCGATGCCACGTGCATTACCTAACTTCTCCTGCTGACGAGCAGAGCATACTGCTCGAAACGTGGAGTACCACTTGTTCTTTTCAGAACCGCAAATACTCACAAAAGAGATACGTCCATGGTGCTACCGCAAACCTACTTTCTATTATAACTTCTACCATGCTTCTACCTAGCTTGTGCTTGCAACATTATCTGTTTCTGGGTCTTGACCTTGATGTCAAGAGAGGGCGGTTTTCACACGTTAAGTGGATTATAATAATTTCTACGGTTGTTGTCGGCTTTCCAGCTAGATAGTACCCACTCTCTGCAGAACACAAATGAGAAAAAAACGTGGAACCAACCAAATTCATCACAGTTCCGATTCATCTGATTACTTACTTCTCCACGTGTGGCAACAGAAATTTCTTTACAAACATGTACACAGCCCGACCGAACTAGCGTTTTGTCGCTGTTAAGTCAAGCGTGAGCCGTTATTAAGGCGTCGCGCCAAATTCAAGATCATTCCTGCCCATGCCGTCGTCAGAGAAATCACGTGGAGCGCTGGTATGTGTTCGTTTCATGCATTTCTAGTCACATTATTTTCTTCTTTTGTTTTTCCTGATTGTAAATCTCGCATTTTGCAGAAATTATTCCCAGGTACCAGTGTGACAATGCGTTCTACGCATTTACTTTGACAGGCGTTTGTTCATTGTCCACGTCTCCACTGGTAGCCTTTTTCCTCCTTTAGTTTCCACTGATTTCCCAGGTTTATGTCCATCACACCATTCTTACCCTTAATTCTTGTTATAGACATTAGTTTAGCAATAAGATCAAAACTATATCACAATACTGTTCTGAATCCTAATTTAACTTGACAGCGACTCAAAAAGATAGGTCCACCTGAGTGTTTGTTCTTTCTCGTTTGGTCAAACACGTTCATTTAACACCCCCACTATATCTCCAACAGAAAGTTTCCCATTTTAACAAATACATTTCTGATTTCTTTCTGTGCTTTCCACTTATGCACTTCCCCCAAGTTTGGAATAAATTTTCCCTAATTTATCGGCCACTCTCTCCCACCATGGTGAAACTCAATATGTGATCAAGTGCATGCACAAAACGATAACTATATGACCAAAATGTTTCTCATGAAAATTTCCTGCATGGCAACTCAATTTATTAGCAACAGTATCAACAATTCAAACAGCAATCGAGATTTATGATAAGAACAAGGCCCGAACACTGTCTTCAAGCAATGAATGTAAATTTATTTGTAAAATACTGGCCAGAGTATCTCAAAACATACAGTTATATCCAGCAAGAAATGAAACCGAAGGGTACCCCCCCCATTTCCTATCGCTATACACACTCTAGACTGTTGTTACCCAACACATCCCCCTACATGTCTGAAAAGAATTCCTCAGATTCCTGTGAGACAATGACCAACACAAAGGGGGTTCTCTGAAGCCCTTATCTTCAAATGTGGCATTGTGCTGGCTAGGCCTGGATTCAGAACCTGATTAATTAAATAGAAAAAAATCCCAACTGAGAATATGAATCTGTAGTGGTGCTTGGCAAGATGTTATAATTAGGCACCAAATCCAATCAATGGAATTTCAGGCTATTCATGGTGAAAGGCAGCAACAGACGGAAAGGTTTGTGGTAGCACCATGCGAAGGAAAATATCTCTCATGAGTATGTGTGGATCTGAAAAGAAACGGGAGTACACTCAACGTTTGGGACTGCGTGCTCAGTTCGTCGTCAATGGCAACAAAAGAATTCCAGGCTTGACTGACCAGTTGAGTACATGTTTGGTATACAAAAGCCATGTTCAGCTCAGGTTTTCCAACTGATCTATTCACCGGATCAGCAGATACAAAAAATGTTATCTGGAAACGGCAAATTACTTGTGGGCATCCCAGAAAAGAATGAATACCGTACAAACACAATTAGGCGTGATAACAAGTTGTCTGCAATATTCAAAAGTGTCCAAATGCATATGGCAACTTAATCCTCAATTTGACAGAGTGAATCGGATAAAATGCATCAGATAAAATGGTCCCGTCAGAAAACACTATCTCAGAAACAAATTGTGTACTGAATGGCGGACATTCACATAATCATATGTTTCTCTTTTCAATCTGGGAATTATTCTGTCACTATCACTAAGTAGAGGACTAATTTTACTTCTTATTTTTCCTTAGGTCAACAAATAGACACTAGTAAAAGTTTAAAATTGGCAAAATGAACCACTCTTACAGACACCTTTTCGAATTGGCATACTGGTGAACCACAAAACATTTATACATTTATTCACTTGGAAACAGAGACAGCAACAGTATCACATTCTCCCTCACTGTCCTCTGAAACTGCTAGGCAGTAAACATTATCACTATTTACAGTTAACACTGACTGTGTTACAAGCAAAGTAAAGGCATTCCACAACAAATCCATTTTGAAGTCAGAAGACTTGAAAGCAAAACACGATAGATAAATCCCTTCCCCACAAAGGGACAACTGTCCCATCAGGATATCCCCTGAATTATAGCATCACCGATCACTACATAAAATAGACCAATACCTGTGAAAACAAACTGATGAAACCTCGCTTCTACATTCTTACAACCATCATGCACAACACAGAGCATCTCTGTTCCAAAATGTCTAAAATTGGTGTATAAGATCCATTTCGAAACCACAAATGTACAGGTCCACGTCTCTGACCAATTTCACAGAGAGTCGTCAGTTCTTTTGCACTAAACATTATTATAAATTATATATAAAACATTATAAATTATGCAGCTTTCCAGTGACTTCCATGTCTGTATGTATCTGTAGCTCGGCTCTCCAGCTCAAAGACAGCCACATGGTGATGACACATTGTTGCAGTATATGCATGGAATACAGTTGGTCTTATTTGGAAGCAACCTAATCAAGCTCAATGCAGCAGCTACCAGCAAACCACAATAGAAAACGTATCCAGAGCTATGCAGATTTAAATTAAATCTTAGCTCTTTGTATGTCTGATTTCAAATCAATTGCAAAAAGAGCTCTCTTATCCCGTCATATTTCAGTTCAGTAACTTGTAATTTACATTTAGGCCAATTACAAAAAAGACAAGCCTGGAACCTACATATGCATGCTACTATCTCCAATCACCACGCCATCGTAAGGACCACACAAGATGTCATTGCAACTGTTTACAACTGTCACAGCTATTCAGTTTCGGCATGTAGTGACAGAGTAATATGGTTCCCCCTTATTCACAGATTACAGAGGAAAATACATATAGTACCATAATTTTTTTAAACATAGTACATGTATATCTCTGTCTTTTCTTCCTGTAAAAGATACCGTATCCTTATACTCAACTCACTACAGAGTTCAGTTCAGTAACACTGAGCATTGTCTACCGTCTCCTAGAAAGCTTGAAAGGCTGTACAAATGCTGCAAACGGTATTTTTTTCTGAAATTTACAGACATTCAGGGCAATATTTATACACTGATTCCATTTCTGGTGGGGTTAATTCTATAACATTATAAAGTTAATGGAATACTGTATACATGTAGTTAATGGAAGACTGGAACACTATGAGGTCGATATTCTGCGTGCAGTTCTTCCAAAGTGTTATACTTTTGGCTGTTGTGATCATGCAATCCAAACAGACAGCTTTCAGACAAATAGAAAGGCTAGTGGTTTCTCATTTTGTGCTTATAGGTTGGGGAGTGTTGGGAATTAGGGATGTGAGAAATGTCACATATCAGTTTTCATATCAAGTGGCTCACAGCAGGAGAAAAATGTGAAAAATGCAGGAATGACAGAGAAGCAAGGCACAGTAGACAGTGGTCAAAAGGTAAAACGGACCTTATTATCAATATCAGGGGATATCAACTGAGTGTGTGTGGTAAAGTCATAAATATATATGTATATCTTTTGTGTACATGTACACGAACATGAACAGGTTATGTACCACGAACATATGTAGGACTGCAGAACAGTAAAAGTTCACTAAGGTCTACAAGATGAGTAGTCCTTTCTTTTTGAGGTCCCTCAGTGATTTCTTAATGAGTATCTTTTCTTTCTGTGACAGCTCACAGCAATGAAGATTCAGGGTCCGAAGTGCCTTACACTTCTTCAGTTGTTCACACCACACTGCTGCAGTACCACCCAGGTTATTGTTAGTAAGATACAAGCCGACCAAGTTTGGTAAATCACGGAGTGACCCAGCGACATGCACCATGTCCTGTCCAGTCAGTGAGCACTCACGCAAGCGCAGCTCCTGCAGGGTCTTGCATTGCTTGACATGCTGGCACCATGATGCTGCTGTGTCACCCAGGTTATGACGAGAAAGATCTAATGCAAGGGCGTTGGGGAAAGGAATGAGTGACTCCATAATGTTTATCACGTCTTGTCCATTTAACGAACAGTTGAACAAGGCCAGGTCTTGCAGGGCCTTGAAATCCTTCAACTTCTCGCACCACAATGCTGCTGTACCACCCAAGTCATTACCAGGAAGATTCAACATTTCTAAGTTGGGTAAATCACTGAGTGACTCACCAAAATGAACCATATCCTGTCCAGTCAATGAGCAGTGACCCAGAATGAGATTCGTTAGGGTTCTGCACTGTTTTAAATACTTGCACCATGATGCTGCTGTACCACCCAGGTTATTACCGAAAAGATTCAGTCTGACCATGTTGGGTGCATCACTGAGTGACTCAGCAATAAATACCACGTCTTGGCCGTTCAATGAGCACTCACTCAAGGCAAGATCTTGCAGGGCCTTGAAAGCCTGTAACTGCTTGCACCACATTGCTGCTGTGCCGCCTAGGTTACTTTCATTAAGAACCAATGTAACCAAGTTGGGTAAATCAGCGAGTGACTCAGCAACATGTGCAAAGTCTTCACCAGTCATTCCGCACTGTATGAACCTTGCTGCATGAAGATTCGTCATTGCACTCATGGCATATGCCAAGTCTTCAACACAAGTACCTGTTATCAATTCAGGGGACCGAATTTGTAACAACTCTACATTCCCAAGGTACGCATTGCCACAGTCCTTTGTTTGATTGGCAACACATTTCAGGAAATATGCGTATGAGTGAAGGTCATCAGTGCAAAGTAGTACAACAGCAATTGTATTAGTTACAAATGATTCTATGAATGACTCTTGAGGCAAACATGTGCACTGACTTTCATAGTAACAGTGAAGCACCAACAGACCCACCTTTTTGTGCAATGATAAATCCTCCTGATACCTCTCCTGAAATGCCTTCATTATCTCCAGTGTACATGCCTCATTGTCACCACAACAAAAGCGCAGAAGATACTCAAAACCCAATGGACCCTTTGACATGATTTCGTATAGTGTCTTCTGAAATGTCTCTCTGTTTGTTTCAAACATGTCTTTCAAGTATAAAGCAACAGTGAATTCCTGGAATGTCTTGTGGATGAATTGCACATTGTTGTGAAGGCTGAATACCTTAGCAACTCTCTCTCTTGTCAGAATACCTGCTTTAAGAGCCATGTCAAGCACACTTGGCTCAAAGTCATTTTCTTTAAAGGACAATATTTGACCTTGTGAAAGAAGACCAAGCAAACCAACCTTGCCGAGTGCAATTACCGCTCTAGACATTTCTTCTTTTGACACATTTTTTCTTTTGCCAATGTATTCAAGTGCCTTGAAGTAAAGACGTGACATTGTTTCCGGGAGAGTGGAATGGTCCTTCCACAGTAAGCACATCAACAGTAGCAGCATTGGACTAGCTGCCAAAGTAGACAGAAGATTGGAGGACTGGATCCTTGCAAGGAGCCCCTCAGCCTGGTCAGAGTCATCAGAGTAAAACTTCTTCACATACTCCCTCATGTCCTCCTTATTAAAGCCCATGACACTGACATGTGCAAATTGTTCTCCAACAAGATCCCTGGTTACCAATCTTTCAAAGTGTGATGGGCGGGTACCAACAAGTACAGTGCAACCTCTACACAGCTTCCCATTCAGGATTTTCAGTATGGAGCCAAATGAGGATTTATCAAGGGAGGTGGTCATCAATTCGTCAAAGCCATCCAACAGAAGGAGGACTTGGTGAGGGTTTGTCTTGATGTACGACCACAGAGCGTTTTTCTCTACCTTTGTGTCTTCAGCTAAGAGCTGGTCAAAAACTGCATCAGTAAGATCTGATCCCTGCTCCAATGCAAACATTTTCAAGAGGAAGACCAGTTTATACTTCTTCAATACAGGACAGCCAACTGCCCAGTCACTTGCAATCTTGTCAAAAAGAGTGGTCTTTCCTGAGCCAGCCAACCCACTCAACACAGCAACATGTATGTGCAATGGGATCAATTCACCGTCAGATCTGTTACTGAGTAAAATATCCTCAAGTGATATCAGAGAGTTTTTGGTTTTCTGCGGAACACTCAATAACAGCAGCTGAGTGTGCACGTACATATCGCTGGTGTGTTTTTGCTCACCCAACCATGGGTTCGTTTTCACAAAGCTACCTCTCTTACTGTAGTGTGTCTTCATCTCCTTCTCACATAAATCAGAAACATCTTGGGATTGCTCATCAGATGTACTGTGTTCTGGGTAAAAATATCCAAAAGAAATATTTAGCAGACAGCTTGAATTTTTACACTAGCTTCTGCCCAAGGGCTACAGGCTATGCGTTGTCCTACTGCAGCGCCAAACTTAATTAGAACAGTTTTTAGAGTTCGGCTTGGGAAAAGCCTATTAAACTTGACGAATTGCATTTGGCACGGCAAGCTGGTTAGCTCAACAGGATATATGCCATGCTGTCGGTGTTTTGAAAGGCAGTGGCATGACACCTCTACCAAGTTTGGCATTTAGTACAACTGCCACCCCATTATGCCGAAGTGTGGCATCATTTTGAACCAGGAAGTGCGATGCAAATAAACGGAGTAAGCACGCGTACATGTACAGCACATGTATTGATTCACGCACTGGTTCTTGTGCAAATGCCTTTGACACACATAATTGTGCACATGACGTATTCACTTTAGTGCCAGCAGCATGCATTCATACAACAGTCTCAGTGTAGTCAAGTTTTTGATTCTCCTTCAATCCCCCTTGCAGGATCCAATGTGAACAAGGTCATATGCTGTTGTGAGAAGGAAGTTATGGTGTCCAATCCCATCCAAGCAAACTTGTGAACTTTTCACAAAACTCTATACCAGGCAAGATATGGGACAGAGGGAACCCCCCCCCGCCTTTGTGTTGGTCATTGTTTGATCGGAATCTCAGGAATTCTGTAGAGACTTCTAGGTGGGATGTGTTAGGTAACAATAGTCTAGAGTGTGTATAGGGATTGGACAGGTAAGGGGGGTACCCCTCCGTCCCATATCTTGCCTGGTATAGAGTTTTGTGAAAAGTTCACAAGTTTGCTTGGATGGGATTGGACACCATAACCTCCTTCTCAATACAGCATATGACCTTGTTCACATTGGATCCTACAAGGGGAAGGAGGATCAATGGCAAGTGGAAATGCAAGGTGGATTGAGATCTAACCTGGATCTTATCTACCTCTCTCAATCGCCCTTTTGGAGAGGATCGGGTAATTTAACCCAACTGTATCAAGTACATGTAAGTGTGGCAATGTTGAGTTTAGAAGTCCATGACTGCCTGATGAGAATTTCTCATTGGAGGGACAGGGTAACCAGTGCCGCTGGTTCCACGGTTCAATATGGAATACAATTGTGTGAGTGGTACTTTTTCTGTAACTGCACTATATGCAGTATGCGAGGGTACTTTCAAGTTGTCCACAAATGGAAAATATCATATCATTCTTTTCACTGACATGCACAACAACGCCACTTTGACAATTTGAAAACTCGAACTCCCTCAATGTTAATTAAAGTTATGCTTTAATTCAGTCAGTTCGGTCTTTCTTTTGAATTAGAATGCAGATCAACGGCGATACAATGTATGCTCAAAAAATATAATTCACACTGCATTTGGCATGCTCGGTGTTCAAAGTCACATGGCGTGTGATATACAAAAGGATTAGGATGTAGTGTCAACGCAGCATCTTTTACTTGTGGTTATGGCTTCCTCGTGGTTTTTATCACCCTGGGAAAATGTTATCCCAATGCAGGATTCATTTTAAACACTGCTGTCATTATATAACATGCACTCACCACTGAGCTCATCAGCAAGATAAGTGTTCCCAACCTCCCATAATGCCTTGCTGAGGGCTTCTCTCTGACTGGCATCATCAGAATGTTTCGTCCTCCACGAGACCAGCATGTGGTAAATCTGATCAGTGGTGTAGGCGTAATGACTTGTAAAGTCGGAGATTTCTGCTGGGCTGAAGCCAAGCCTTGTAGCCAGTCCCCTCCATTCACCTGCATGAATCTGAGCAGATATGCTGTGCAGTGTGTTATCATCCAATTCTCCTGTATTGAGAACAAAATACTGACAGTTAAAAAAAAATTAGTATCTTAACACTGCACTCTAAAATGTGCACTTTGTCTGCAGTGCACCTGACCAAATCGCTAAAATAGTATAGATGATGCATGACTTTGAATACATGTGTGGCACACATCCTCAAGTAATTAATTCTAACCTTGCAACTTTTGTTAAAAAAAAAAAAAATTCACAGATTACTGTCCCCAAATAAACATTCCTTGTTCACAATTTTATCTACACGATTGTGTAAATAAAATGAATACGCTCACATTCATTTCATTCAATGAAAAAGAAACTCAAAACAAAAGAAAGCATCAAGCAAAAATTAAATGAAATTGTTAAAACCATAACTACAATTATTTAGAGCTATTCTGTACATTATCCCCAGCAATCTTTGATATTCCAACAGAAACAAAGATTAAGGACTGCAGTGGATTTTATCCACATGTGCATGGGTGATATATGATATCAACTTATTTGTTGGGTCACAGAGGACAAAATACATTTTCAAAATACATTTTCAAATCTGTAAGGTCCAATTATTTTAAATTACAAGGGTTTACACGACAGCTTGAATAGATACTGTACATCACCTGGTGCTTGATGTCTCCTTCTCTTCCATTCTCCTCTGCTCTCTCCTCCGTCCCAGTCAGCCATTCTGTTGGGAATTGATCAATTTATCAAGCAGTGAATTAAGAAGCGAGCAGTTGAGGAAAAACATATCCCTGACTTAGATGTAAATTTCTCTTATGACTGTGCACTTCTGAATCATTTTTTTTGGTCAATGGTGAAGCGTGCCACAGTTTTTGGTTTTGCAGTTTATCATTTTCATATTAAAACTGAGGACTTTTTTGGATATTTCCATGTATAAAATGTATTTACAGCTTATATCAAGTCTACAAGACTTCTCTTATGACAAAAGGGTAAACTACATGTACGTGAACCTCCCTAGACTAGAAACGAGAAGAAAAAGGAGCGGTCCTAATCAAACCTACAGAATCATGTATCAAATTTAGATGTTATAATCAAGATTCAATGGAAAAAAGTTCCACATACAGACGCCACTTGACACCTCGTGCACAAACCCTATGGGACTGGTCTGAAAAAATTTAAGTGTTTTCTTAGTAAATGTCTTGATTTTTTCACTCATAAATTGATCTTTTCTGGACATGTTTTTGCTTTCTGATGGCCGAAAGTCACCATAAGGAAAAAATACTGGTGGCTGTATATGGAACTTTACCCATTCAATGTTCCAGGGTACCAGAGGTCATTTTAGCCATGTCCAGATCAAGACTTGATGTCAGCTGGAAGCAAATACTCAATAAAGCCAAAGGGCAGTGCATAGGTGGAATAAATGGCCTGAGAGTGAGTGTGTCATCCCAGCCCCTACATCTGCTTCAAGCCATGGAGTAACTTGGGATTTTAATGGGCAAATAAGGAACCCTTCATTGGTTCAGTCCGAGTATGGAGGAAGAAATACCTCCATAGTCTGAGGCAGTAAGATGACCACAGAGGTGTGGCCTTCAGATATGTCCAGTTCCATTCAAATAAAACCTTTGAAAGAGTGTTCGTAGGCCTAGCTCTAAGTGGAGCGTTAATATTCCTCTTTTAACGATTTTGGACGCAATTGTCAGACTAACATAGACTTATGACGATCCCGTCCAAAATCGTTGAAAGAGGAATACTAACGCTCCACTTAGTAGAGCTAGTCTAGGCCTATAAAATTCTCAATACTTACCTTTAATTGCGTGCAGAATGGATCAAGTTCACGTACAGCACCATATGGGTCACTGCAAATGGCCTGCCTTTTGATGCTATCCGTGATGTCAAATAGTCTAAGCTCAGCTGAAAACGTCTAGTCTACTGACTGAAATTAACAATTCAAATAAAGTGCATCTCCTAAGTGCAATCCATGTAGTCTATCAACGTAGTAGTAGTATACGTAGGGCCTTGTTAACGGATCCATCGTGGAGCAATGATCCGGAGTGGAGGCGTCACCGATCAGATACACATGTCCACGGAACAGCCCTAGAGCTAGAGACACCCGCAGATCTTTCGATTTGTCATTGGCCCATTGGCCGAACTCGACTCGGTGATGACCAAAGATACGATCTTTGGTGACGACACACGTAGGGCCTATAGTGTTCGTATCTTTTTTCCTTGCTCCAATCCGCATGCCGCGCCTGTAGTGCATGTAAACAAATACCGTACCCGTCGAACCGCAAGATTGTCCTTTGGACTTTTCTCAGAGATATGGAACAGCGAAAATCTACGAAAGTCCACTCGAGCCACTGAAATTAAAATTCAGTGGGAAACTAATTCGTCATTTTGAATAATGAATTCTTTATTTCGTTAATTGCTTTCCTATTGACACGTGTGGTCGATCCACGCGGGCTGACACGCGCCCTACGCCTGAACTTCAAAAAGTTAATGATCATAACAATAAAACCATAGCATGTCAAATATTTAGTTGAAATCCCTAATGGATGTCTTTACATGATGCCAAGTTTTGAAAAGATCGAGCGTGACCTGTTCTTAGTGGGCGTGGTGGGGAGAGATTGCCCTCGACTTTGAGACGATCCAAAATTTGTTTGGCTCCGAGTGTCAGTCCAAATCTGTAGCCCATGTGGACACCCTGACCATACTACGTGAGGGAGGGGCTGGCGTCCGAGTCCAACCTGGGTGAGAGCCCCGTTGCTGCTGCCACATCGACGGGACCAAGGGGGGCATAACGTAGGATTAATGCTGAAGTTGAAAGCATTCAACCGCCACTACTTAGACAACGCTTAACGAGCTTATCCAATCACCCATCTGCTGCACGATGGAACTGTATATGCAAGGTATTATTCCGCTATGCCAATCCAGCGATCGAGCGATTACTCTAATTTTGGCATCAAACTGAGCTTTTTGGTGACAATTCAACTTACTCGCTTACTCTGAAAACGCAGACTTTGCATTTATAACAAAACGTCCACTCACGTCTATTGCCGCGCAATGTACACAAACCCTTCATTCTCATCAAAGTCTAGCCTCATAGCACTGCCTCATAGATCAGTCCACGCTGCGAATTGTCATTGATCACTTGTCTAGCTGATATCGGTGTACCAGGTAACCTAGATGGTTTTTAATTGAGTCGTTTACTTGCCAGTCCTGTAGAACGCTTGAGGAGGAAACGTTTCAGAATTGAGAAGGCCTTGATTCGGAATTAGGCTTCTCAAACTGAATACAAAAACATTTGCGTCGCTGGCAAGTATATACAGGCAGGGTTCCATGATTTGTCGGCTAACTTGTTATTGAGCTAACAGGTTAAAAGAAAAGGGGTTAAAATCATATAGTTATATGTGAATTGGGAGACAGAGACGAAGCCGAAATGCAAGTCCACGGGAGGATGCACCTTGACGTCCTCTGGCATTTCTTCAAAAGGACAGAGAACAAATCTCAGGAACGCTTCCGGGCTATGACGACGAACTTAAAGATTGGTGTCCGGTCCTGGCATTGTAGCGCAGGAGAGCAACAGAACGTAACCCTGTCAGCCAAGATTACCTCGTGTTATCCAGGATGAGTGTGAAGTATAATTATATCTCATGGCAATGTTCGCGTTCACGATAAAGAGCAAATGGAGGACAAGGTCGATACTCCAAGTTGTGCTTGCGAGAAACAACATACCGTTTTTCTTGCGCCATTAGGGCCATCAGCATGGAATTCCCAAATGTCTTCATCAGTTAAAGAGATCGTTACTTTCGTAATGGTTGCTTCGTGTTTACCGCAATACGCCCCAACTATTCCGTGTAAGGAGCTAGCCCACTAACGCCGCTGCCCCAGCATGATTACAGGTACACTTTACAATATGTTGGGCGCATCACGAATCGGTCCAAATACACATGTACATGTAGTTGGTCAAGTAATCTGAAGTTAATCAAACAACGGGGTTTCATCCACGCGTTGAATAAAAGAAAGAAAATAAAATTGGAGCTGTGATTAGCAATGTGACAAGGTTTGCATCACAGGTGTGGAAAGACAGCTGGCTAATCATCAAATATACCCAGCAAGANAACATGTCCAATCCCTATACACATTCCAGACTATTGTTACTTAACACATCCCCCCCCAAGATGTCTGAAAGGACTTCCCCAGATTCCTGCGAGACATTGACCAACACCAAGCAGGGGGGGTCCTCTCCGTCTCATACCTTGCTGCATATGTCATCAAATAAGGAGGCCGGATCGACAGGTTTCTGGATTACATTTGACCATTTGACTGACTACAGCAGGTGTGCACTTTCAACAGATTAACCAATGTCCATCAATTCAGCGGGCTATAGGTAACAGAAAACAAGTCATAGCCAAATCGTGCACAGAAACGGCTACTGAGACTCTTTTATTGTGGCATTCACTCCTTATTGTGGGAAACAGAAGACTATGCCTCTGCGGGCCTACTGTTAAAGGTTTCACAATTCCGGAAAAAATTAGATGCAGGATTTGGGAAATATTTAAAATGTATTAAAAACGTCGTTCTTACGTGCTCCAACACGCGCCACAACACTTGCATTTCTGAAAAGATTTTAAAATTTGCAGATGACAACTGCATGTAAAATTTTTCAGTTTATACATTGTACATACATTGTAAGACTTTACACATAGAACTCTAACCATTATAACAGGCCAAGTTCAAACTGACCATCTAAAGAAATTAAAGATGAATACACTCGAATTAAAGTAACTACAAACTTTATACAATCACACGACTCCAAAAACGCCTTTCACTATTTTGCCCTGTGATTCTTTCGGAAGACGCCCTCCCCATGAATCGATCCATTATTATTCGTTCACTTTGAGAAGGATTCCAATGATCAAATGCTGCTTTTCGAAAAGCCCGGCCTTTCAGCATTTTCAATTTTGTACATTGTATTTGGTCACTGCAGTCAGCGAGCAGATTGCAGCGGCTTTTGCTCTCTGTGAGGAACACCTGTTGAATGTTGGTTACTCTTAGGACACAAAATATTGTGGGGACAGAGTCCGCTCCGAAATTGACAAAATACTGAAACAAACTTAAACCAACTCAAACTCATCACAAATAGAAAGCAGAAAGTTAGAGTTACAGTTTCAGTAAGTAACCTTCAAATCTGGCGTCGCCACATAAAAAAAAAAATCATTACAAATCTTATCTTTGTAAGCTACCCTGTTCTGAATGGGCTCAGTCTAAACTTTCATCTTGAATAAACATGAACAGCAGCCAGTGAGGTAACTTCATAATGAAACGTTTACAATGTTCGTCACATTTCCTTCAGTCATAATGGACACCAATTTTTAAAGCATTTACAAATAAAAAAAATCACAAAATCTAATTTTTCAGCTAACTTAGTCCGACCATACGAAACAAAACTTGTGTACTGTCGTATGTGCTTTAAGTACAAAAAAGGTCTTTTATGAAGTCTTACACTGGCCACCGATCTTTGATGTTGCATACAACATGCACATCTTGTCTACATGAATACTCTTTATTTGCATTTGTCTCCTCTCTTTTGAAGTTTCTTTTTTAATTTTGTTCTTTGATGCTCTATACATGGAGTCAACCATTAAGCCAAGTATGACACCAAACAAAGTAAAAGGAGGTCGATTAAGATAGTACTGTCACGCCAGCAGTGCTTCACTGATGGCTTGAAAACATTGCTATGCCTTGAGCACTTTGCAACCTGTTCAATCACAGCAGTGCACTGGCCATAACTAGATTGAAACTACAAAGTGATTTCTGGGTTTAAATAAATCAATCTCCATTTCAGGGGCAAAACTGACGTAACTTCTGCTTTGTCCAGTTTTGACTGCCAAAGAGTTTAACAACTTCATAAGAAAATGAAGTGTTAGATCATTTTATTCAAACTACAGACAAGAATAGTTGGACTGTCGTTTTTCAAAAAGGTATGATTTTATTCCCCACCCCCTGGACCCAAAACCTGGATAAGCACAGGGTTTAAAAGCACCATGTTCTGATATTAGCTACCTTGCCAACTTTGGAAGACAAATAACAAGTGTACAAAGTACTGTCTATGAATAACATCAACATTACAGTTAAGTGTTTTTTTTCGAGTAAGGAGTTCAATGCCATGTGAAAAGATACTTGGTCCCAAATCTTTTCGAGTACTCTTGTCCGAAGCGCTTCAAAACTTGATGAGTCTGAAGTCTTCCCATTATTTTGAAATCTTCCCTTTGTGCAATCAACATCCGACGCCATGCTCTCCAACTTTTTTTCCCTTCTAACCACTCCAACATTTGGCAGTAAGCTTATACTTGAAAGGTACTCCACTACAACAAAGGGATTCCAAACATTTTGGAACTACACCGTACTGTTGAATAAAGTACAGATATATACATGCGGATAGGCTACAAGCATGGTGTAAAACGAGTTGCTTTCAAATGCATAGTACATGATCAAATGAGTTTTGTCCTGATCGAATGAATACAAAATGCATAGTTGGATTTAAGCATGCCTCCATACATATACATGTAAATGTGGAGTGAAAAAAATCAGTCTGGCTTTTCCAATTGCCGACAATAAATAACTACTACGCGTACCAAAATAAAAAAAAAATTCATATTTATGTACAGAGAATAGCACAATGTTTCTCAATATTCTGAAGGCACATTTCTAGCTTTAAAAATACAAAGTGAGTTAGTAGACTTCAATGTGGTGTTTCTACTCAACATGAAATGATGACTTAATTATAAACCCTGTCCACTACGATTTGAAAAAAACAGATACTTTTAACAGTTTGTACACTTTTGGCAAAATATGGACGGAAAATACCATAGTTCTGCACACAGCAAATTATTTTACTAATACTGAAATGGTGATGAGCACACATTTGGCACACTGAGCACCTGGACCGTAAACCAGGAATTAAAAAACCCCATGAAACTATTTTTTTCTGTAGGCGCTTAATAAACCCTGCATATATTAGGCACAACGTGTGTCTGAAACCAAGACCACCATGATCAAATTTGAGCTGCACAAGTTAAAAAATCGGTTGGGCTACCTCTGGTGATAAAAATAAGAGTGCAGAATTGCTCTCCATCGTTTATATTGCTGGTTGAAATGAGCCAGGGAGAACGGTGACAATCCTGTACTTCGTTTCCCTTTTTATTACTGTTATGAGATTCCACTCAAGCTTTGCAGCATCTCCTCCACTTCCTCCATTTGAAAAGTTCTTGGGGTCAAGATGACCTGGATTACTTTGCATGCTGCTCTGCTCACGGGCCAGTTCGGGGTTGAAGCCAGCATGAAGTTAATCCCATGACGAGCACTAATGAATAGAATACTGCCCTCTACAGTTTATGCTCAAAGCCGATGGAAATTCAATTTCTGGTGTCAGAAGCGTTATCATACCACTGAATCAATGGACAAGGAGCTGGGAAGATCGTAGTCAACTGGGGGTGCTATGATACTGACCTGACGCCGTCGCTGAATCTCTGGGAGTTTGGGAACGCTTGACCCCCGTGGAAGACCGTTGCCTGGGAGGTCAGGGATCTCACCAGGGATGGAATTCCGGGCTCTTCGGCCAATGGTCTCGCCGCCGTTGCTGGGGATGTCCTCGATGTCATCGCCAAGTATAAAACGATCATCCATGGGCGTCTCACGGCCGCTGGGCCCACGCAAGGGGAGGAGTTGCGCGCGGCGGTGGGAGCGGTCGCGCCGTTTCTTGCGGCGTGTCTTGCGCATGTTGGGAGGCGGGGGCTCAATGACAACCTCCGCTTGGACCAAGTTGCGGCCAGCTGTGGCTGCAGTTCCGGGCCTCGATGCCAGCTGGGAATCTGACAGAGAGAGTTGAAATGCTGTCAATATCCAGGATGGTTGAAATTGAGAAGTTTTGATTGTGGCTTTCAGTGCATTGCAGTGTCATTAACCACAATAGATTCCTGTTATAGCACTCCGATGTAACGCTCTATTTTCATTTACCCCAGCTACACGCCCATTCACTGTGTACATTGTTATGTGGTTATAGCACTCCCATTTACAATGCTTTTCTGGATATAATGCTCACAATTTTTGGCCACGAGAACCATACAAAGCGTGTGAAATGATTCCGGTTACAGCACTCTCTTTACCTTGGTAAATCAGAATCTTCGAAAATCAACGCATATGAAACCGCATCGCAAGGCTGCCGCAATAGGCCGGGTATCCTAGACACCAGTAGTTTAGCAATCACACAGAGTGCAGACACGCCCTGCGTGTCCACGCAGCGTGATCGCGAACACGTGCTCACCATGGTGAGCCGCCGCCCCGTGGCTTTGCTGTGGCGACATTGTAGTGATTATTTTCCCACTTTTTATTTATTCTTGTGGTGTACAGTAGTTTGGGACACAAATAATCAACATTGAGATACTACAGCACACATACACTGAACAGCAAGAGAAACTTGCCACTGCTGTCAAAGGCCACACATAAAAATTCACTCCATAGAAATAAACAATGTTTGTACACAGGTATGCTGCAATACCCCTTACTAATCACATGCCCAAAAGTAAGTGATTATCTTTATAACAAAGAAGAAATTGACATGCACAGCAACTTGGTTACTGAATCAAAAGTCACACACAAAAGCACTCTCCACCAAGCAAAAATGAACCATGAATGGACAACATTTTAAACAACCAATGACAAAGTGAACACCTGTTTTGTCAAAATGATGTGCATGAGTGGTTTCTGTATAGGGATGCCATCCTTTCTGACTATCCATACACATTATTGAAAAGTCATGACTAAGACTTCTTTATTTTGTCCTGTGACATTGATTTCTGCGTAAAACTTACGGCTCATTCTGTTACATTCTGTGACTTTTGTATTTTAGTTTAGTATTTTTCACCTGAAAGTTTCTTTCTACCGATATATAAAAATCAGCAGTTTAAACTGTACGTGTATCTTCGTGTAGCAAATCTCGTCTTTTCACCGATTGTGTTCGGTGTGACATGACGGGTCTGTTTTCATTTGGGTTTTCTGATGACATATCTCTTTCTATGATCCATGGTTATTGGCAAAAGTCAGCGATTGGACTGTCCATGAATGGGATACGCAGTAGCAGTCAGGATGTCGCAGTGGGTGTAGACGCAGTGCGTGTGCCGCGATGCAGCATGCACGAGGTCCCGTGGCGGTTTTTGAAGAAATTTAAAAAAAAAAAAAAATCAATGTCATGAAAAGGTCAAGATAAACAGATACAAGGCACATACATCTGCCAATACATGTAAATAAAATTCACTTACATGACATACATGTATATGTAGATACATGAATCTATACATGTACAAGTACACAGAAGTCCTGTTGGTTATAGCTGTTAGGTTATAACGCTCAATTCTGTTAGGTCCCTTTGAGAGCGCTATAAAGGGAATGCACTGTGAGAGGTCTCTGTCATAGAGGTCTAAACCTGGCTAAGCCTTGTTCTCATCAATGACAATTTTAGGAGGCTACTTAGGTGGTAGGAATGTGGGCAAAAATTGCCTAAATTGCCTTGCTTCAAACCCTCCTTTAGTTTTACAGCACAAATATGCACAAGTGCCCAAGGTTACTCTCTTGCATGTTGGTGCAGTGCACAACACGACACAGCTGTGCTTCTTTGAGGTGTTTACCAAGTGACCCAACGATTGACTTCAGCATAGGAGGGTTAATCAAGGTTCTCATTCCTCAAGTCAAAGGATTCGTCTCTTTAAGTATTACAAGGTCAGGGCAATGTCTACTTCTGATACAAGTGACCAATTATCCTCTTGGCGAAAAGAGCCAACTGAAGTGAAGTTCCTCGCACAAGATCACTATATCAAGGTCTTACAGCAGTAACTACGGTGTACCACTCGAAAATGAAAACTCATGACTACATCATTTCTCATAAACCCTTTCAGACGTTAAGTATAACGTAGGTCATCAGGTTGGGGGGGTCATGTGAAGCTTGGATTGATCAAAGAAAAAACTATCCCTATTTGAAGTTGGGGGGATCACTCGAATGTTACAGTGTGAGGAAGACGGCGTTTACCTCAACCTGGTTTCTAGCGAGATTGGCGCCAGTCCTAACTGGACAAACAAGCTCTCAAATCTCACCTGGCGAGTTCCTTGGGGAGCTGGCGTTGGTGGCAAAGACAGGGAGGGGCAGGGCCCCCCCTCCCCTTCGCATCAGCATCCTGGCTGGGACGTTATTGCCTTTACCCCAGATGGACGAGGAGTCTTCGGTTACGCTGGACTTGGGCAAGTCTAGCTTCATGCCTGAGGCAAATAGGAGACCAGAATATCTGAAAAGTTACCAACTTGCGATTGACCCGAGTCATTTGAGAAGTTGCCGATGGCAGGATTCCTGCACCTGAAGGACAATTAAATTCCATGACTTTTCCATGACGAAATTATGAAAATCCACGACTCAATAAAGCAATTTCTTGGACGATGGGAACTTTTAAAGTTGCGAATAAACTCATGCATTTTATGCACTCATTTCTGATAATAGAAATCAAACACAGTGTTTGAAAAATTCCACGACTTTTCCATGACTTTGGTCATTTTAACAACATTCCACGACTTTTCCAGGCCTGGAAAATAAGAACAAATTTCCATGACTTTTCCAGGCCACAGGAACCCCGATATTGGTATTATTCTATGAAAAACCCGTCCCCGGCAAAAAATAATGTCAGTGGAAAATACCGACGTTTTACAATCGCTACCACTCCATGTTGCACCATCTGGCATGCACTATTATTTTCACCTGTGCATACCAAGTTCTTAGGACACCAACATACTGCAATGACAGTCCTCCAGAAAATTGGACTTATATAAATACTGACTAGTAGTGGTGAACTGTTAAGTGACATCTCTCACTGCATCATAGCTTTTTCGTAAATCTGACACTAGGACACCCCAAATTTGGGACAATCGTGGACATCATCCGGCAGTGCAATGGTGAATTTACCAAGACGTTTGAAAAAGAGCCAGCTTATTTTGCCTATTTCACGGGGGAAGGGGTGGGTGGATACCATCCCCCCCACAAGAACTTGAAAGAGCCTGATTTTTGTTTTAACTTGGCATGCATGTAAAGGCACTCCACATCATTACAAACTAGTCTGAACTCACTCAGACGCTTAGTTTTATTGATAAGGTCATTTGAACTTCAAGGCTACATGCGTGCCAGTCTGTATGCATTGAGCACCGCAGCGGAAAAACGTATACATTTTTGGCTGACAGGTCTCCGAAAAATGCACGCTGCACAAGAACAGTATGTTCAATTTTTGCAAAACTGGTGTCAAAATGACTGCAAAGCTCAACTTCTGAAAAAAATGCACTGCGGCGATATCAGGAAAAACTGTTGAGGGTGGGGGTTTCTCCGCCCTCTTTTTGGGTTAAAACATCCTCCACGTTAACTGTCACAGGAATTCCCTCAATGGTAACATGTCCTGTGGTGCGAAGTGGTTAATCATTATGAAGTGAGACATGCACATGACACAGAACACAGTACACTGGACCCTTAACCACTTCGTGCCGGGGCATTTTTCAATGTTGATGATGCTGGGCCGGCATGACTATCATTTTTCCCGTTTTCAAAATCCTTCAAAATTCGTCATTTCATTTAACGGTCGTTTATAGCCGCACGAA